AATAAATAAATAAATAAATAAATAAATAAATAATAAAATAATAAAATAAATAAATAAATATAGTTTTACGACATATGACATAGCTAGATTTAGCAGGATCGTGCAGAATGTATATATGGAGTACCTGACAGAGATCAGTGCAAGGCTATTGTACGTGACGTCCTAACGAGGGTGGCTCAAAGACATTGTAATAGCAATTTCGGCCGACAGACCAGACCTTTACTCGCGGTACGCCCGGGACAGGCGTGAGTGCTCGATCGTTCAGTGGGTGATCTGACAATGCGGTCATTCTCTCACGCACGGGTCTCACCGCATGTCATAAAGAGTAATGGCGCCATCCATACTTATTCGGGTGCAACTCTTGTGTGTAGCAGCCGGACACACTAGGCGCGCATAGCACCACGCTTCGATGTTAGCATCAGTTACCGTGAAGCAGCGCGTGCATGTAGATAATGTCAGGACGTTGTGCAGTTCTCCCCGAAATTGATCACGTGATTCACCAACCATCTCATCTTAATCACAGAGCGACAGTCACATTCCTGTTAGTGGTTTTAACGATGTATACTATAGCGCACTACGTGTCCCCGTATGCTATAGTCGACGTATAGTATGCACGTGCTATAGTCGACCGAGCAATAGTGATGGCTTTCCGTGGCGCACAAACGATGTGTTAATGTTCAGTGCGATGTGTATGCCGGGTAGGTTCAGGATCGAATCGATGTAACGCGAACGTTCGACCGCTTGCAAGCGAATTAATATCGATTGTCATCTGAGCATTGGCCTTTATCAACGAATGAGAGCTCCCGAACATTAAACTTATCTGAAACGTTATCGTGGAGTTTTTTTTCAGGGCAAAGCGCAACATGCATCTTCATTGACGTTAATTTGTTGATAGTATACGCTTAGGATAAAACAGTTAAACACGGCGAGAAAATGCATGCAGACTGTCGATCTTGTCATATCATGAAGAATGTTCTTCTGCTTTTAATTAGATGACAATCCTGCTTTGCTCTCGTACCATCCACGAGTTCGCATTGTTTGAAACACTTAATGTAAAAGTTTTGAAATTTGTTCTCTGTGTGAATAATGTAATAAGCGTTCGCACTGGGTGTTGCTAGCAGATCTATACGTATACCACTATAAGAATAAAACATCCGTCACGTAGGTGTGCATTGAGAATACGTGCAGAAATACATCTGAGCTGCA